ACACTCTGCATTCACTACAAACACACTACATACACTGCATTCATTGTACACACTCTGCACTCACTACAAACACACAAAATTCATTATACACAATTTGCACTTACTACAAACACACTACATTCATTATACACACTCTGCACTCACTACAAACACACTACATTCAATATACACACTCTGCATTCATTATACAAACTCTGCACTCACTACAAAAACACTACATTCACTATACACACTGCATTCACTACAAACACACTACATTTATTATACACACTGCACTCACTACAAACACACTACATTCATAATACACACTCTGCACTCACTACAAACATACTATATCTACTATACACACTTCTGCATTCATTATACACACTCTAATTTTACTACAAAAACACTACATTCACTATACACACTGTATCTACTAAGCAAACATACTCACATTTATTATACACACTGCACTTCACTGGCAAAAACACTACATTCACTATACACACTGTATCTACTACAAGCAAACACACTGTATCTATTATACACACTCTGCATCTACTACAAACACATACTACATTCATTATACACACCCTGCACTGCACTATATGCATTGGAGTGTAATTTTTTTAAAGTGTGGTTGGGGGGGTGGGAATCTTGGGTGAGTTCCCACACTTTTTTCCCCAGGACTTGACCCCTGGGCATGTCCCCTTTCTTCTATACTCACTACATACACCTTTTCTCTGTTTTAGACTATATACCAGGAACTTCTGCCTGCTAGTAAGAAGGTAAGGAGACAAGTGGACCAGCGAGTGCTAGGGTACAGTCCTTAGAAAGCATGGAGTGAGTGCATCATTAGACGCATTTATGTCAAGCTCAGGGTGCTGCCTGCATACTATGCCCTTAGTTGGACTGCCTGCAGGATTGGCAGGCAGCCTGACATGCATTCATGCCAGGCTGACCTTCCAATTCTTTGGACAAACATGGCCCCTTTTTGGGCATGTTCACCCCTTTTGGCAGGTCTGGTCACGTGATTCCCGCCAGTGGCACACACTTTTACCCCACCCATTGACTTCCTTCTTCACTGGACACTGCTGTTAGGGGTTATGGATTTACTTGAAAGATGAAAGCATAAATTGAAATAAAATGAAAGCATAAATTAGAGAGAGATTAGCATAGAGTATGCATCATGAGTTTCCCTCCAGCACCATCTCCATAAGATACATGACTCTTGGGAGGTATGACTGTTTTAGTGTTTTTGGTCGATAAGATTCCGTAATCAGGCCCATTATAATTGTCAGCACCAGGCCCACTGTGCTCTTAATCCGGCCCTGGCTGAATGGCAGTGCTGCATACTGTGCAGCACTGCCCCAGGAAGACCACTGTAGGTGTCCCTAGGGGGAAATGTAAACACTGCCTTTTCTCTAAAAAGGCAGTGTTTGCATAAAATTGCCTGCATATTATGATTATACTCACCAGAACAAATACATTAAGCTGTAGTTATTCTGGTGACTATAGTGTCCCTTTAAGGAGATTCGTTTTCTGGTTTCTTTAATATGTCTGACAATTCAAAAATCTCCAAATCAGGGTTAGAAATCAGGACTATTCTGTCAAAAACTAGGCTGTTAGCAAGTATAACCAATGCAACTAACATTCACTGCACAGTCAATTGCCTTATCAATCTAAACCGTGGTAAACTATCTCTATCCCTAATACCATTATTCTTCTCCTTCTCTCACAAATGCAAGTATACCGCTCTTTATACTGTACACCTACTAGTGCATTCTAGCAATGACTTGTTTACAGCTCTCTCCAAACCTTGTGTGTTTGCTGCACTGTAATGAGGCACGGAGCTAGTATAAATTGTAATACTGAGAGTCCTGCATTATTACAGTGTAAGGGAATTGTTTAGATCTGAGCTCCAGATTGTGGCACAGATACACAAGATACACAAGCTTGGCCATGCTCATCTAGCAGTGAGTCCAAAAGGGACTTGGACAATTTCAAGCATGTTTCGCCAGGTCCAAACTGTAGAAATAATCCCTGAAAGTATTCTTCCTATTGGTCTATTTCAAATCCACGTAGGCTACATCAGCTATATCAGCCTTTGTTGAAATGAAACTACTGTGTCAGAGTTGCACTGGGGTCTTCACAAACATCATTGGCTACTAGAGGAAATGCCCTGCCTACCCCTGCTCAGAGCTCAGTTTGTAGCCTTGTTCACTGATGACTAAACAAAAGGTGAAATGGCACATTGTTCATTATAGAACATTAAAACCAAACTATTAATACTAACATTAAAACTTTTCATTGCTAATGCAATCTATGTCATCATGCACCGGCATAACTACAGCAGGTACAGCTTGTGTGGCTGCACTGGGACCCACCAATGCACAGAGGGCTGTCATTTCTTCGTAGCATCAGGGAAAGCTGCTGTAAAAGCCAATAAAGTCAAAACTTGGGTGGTTTTGTTGTCCCTCAGTCACAGTGATTAGGTGAAAACACTCTTTATAAGCAGTTTTCTACTTTATAAATTTTTTTTACATTTTGTTTGATGTGTACCTTATGTATGAACTTTGCATTGTAATACTAATTTTCACTATTATACATGAATTGCATTGATGCATTTATCACTGTCATTTTATATAGTTGTGTTTAGGGATGTGCAAAGACAAAAAAATTTGGTTCGGCACTTCCGAAATTCGGGACTTCCAAAATTCGGCACTTCGGCCCTTCTGAAATTCGGTACTTTGGCAATTCCCTAACCCTACCCCTAACAACCACAACCACTTACACATCAAGGGTTAGGGATAGGGCTAGGGTAAGGGGTAGAGTTAGATTCCTGTCATCATTCCCGCAATTTTCCTTCCCTCTCTTCTTTTGCCACTTTTCAGAAATACAAAGCACTTTGGCATTTCCAAAATCCGTCCGTTTGGTTCCGCACTTCGCAAATTCTGCAATTCGAACATTCGGAAGCATCCGAATGTCCGAATTGCCGAAATTCATCCGAATGTACATTCAGAACGAAACAAATTGCACATGTCTAGTTGTATTTTAATATTATATGAAATCGTCATTGTTTTGTCATTAAATAAAATGTATCCAACTATTTGCACTCTACTCATAGATAGACATATGTTGTAAGCTGGTGGATGCCCCTAGCTGTACTAATTTATCTGTATGCGTGTCAGTGTTTGTAGCTGTATGCCAGTGTATCTGCATGTGTTTAAGTGTGCATCTGTATGTGTGTATGTGTATATGTCTGTGTCTGTGTATCTGCATGTGTGTCAGTGTCTGCATCTCTATAGCTGTATGTGTGTCAGTGTTTGTTTCTACATGTGCAGCAGTGAGTCTGTATATCTGCACGTGTTTCAGTGTGTGCATCTGTGTCTGTTTATCTGCATGTGTTTCAGTGTGTATATCTGTGTGTGTATACTTCCTGATATTATTTTTAAACCTTTGCCCCTCTCATTTAAGACTATGTTCTCTTGTTGTGGTAGTTTTTCTTCTTTTAAATATGGTCTCCTCCTTTACTGTGTTGATTCCCTTTATGTATTTAAATCATATCCCCCCTGTCTCATCTTTCCTCCAAGCTAAACATGTTAAGATCCTTTAGCCTTTCCTGGTAAGTTTTATCTTGCAATCCATGAACCAGTTTAGTAGCCCTTCTCTGAACTCTCTCTAAAGTATCAATATCCTTCAATAACCCTTCAAGGATGGGCAAACGGTAGATCCCCAGCTGGCAAAGCATTGTGAGAGTTGCACGACAGATAGAGATCTACCTTTTGCCACCATTGCAATTGGGGAGAGTCCATAAAATTCTTGCACTAGGTCCCTCACTACATTAGTCCTGCCACTGTCATCATGGTCTTTAAAGATCCTATGCAAGCACAAAATGTTATACTAATTTATTATGAGCAGATCTGCGGAGCCCTTCTAATGATAAATTAGTAGGACATTAAATATCCAACAAGAAATTCTAAGAACAACATTGACATAACAACATAGGTCCCTTTAGTACTTAACAGGTGAAAAATAAAAACTAGCCACTCATATTTTTAAATCCAAACCTCAAAGTGCTAAGGAAATGCCTGTCTATGCAAAGTCCAAATAATTGAAGATTATGCAAGCTTTAGTGTACTAATAATCTTAATTTTAATAAGGACAGGAGGCGAGTATTTTGCATTAACTCTCTTTACTAAACTCCACAGCAGTAAAGAAAAACGTAAAGAGTAACATTAAATCACTGAGCAGCATAGTATATATAAGGGTCATGCTGCCTGTACACTTCCTCTTTCTTGAAGCGACATCCAAGTCCAGACTGATCTCGAAACGATAGAACCAACGAAACAATCAACAACGGTCTCTGGTGAGCAGAACCTGATGAGACTCCTGGTAAACGAGGTCGGGAGAAGACGAAACGAAGCCTTTATCCTCGTAGGCGGAGTCTTGAGGGTAACCAAACCAACAACCAGTGGGGGTCCTGAAGAGGATTACACTGAAAGAAGAGTATGAAATAGGTTAGGTACTGAACCGTAACTGGTCACGCATGAGAGCCATATCAGAGTGTGTTAAACTAAGTGGTGATATACACAGTAGTGTGTGTAATGTAAGGTAATTACGTGTTATGTGTAATATGTGGTGCAACGTAACCTGGTTGTCAAAGACCTAGTTCTGGGATGAGAGACGGGAGAGAACTGCGTGCACCCCAAGGAAAGTAGCAAGCACTGACAAGCCAAAACAAAAGTCCGTCACCTTGAGATCCACTCCCCCGAGGAGTCAGGGTAGGGAACAAAAGGGAGGGAAAATACTCGCCTCCTGTCCTTATTAAAATTAAGATTATTAGTACACTAAAGCTAGCATAATCTTCAATTTTATTACATGACAGGAGGCTTCCTATTTTGCAATTTTAACGCTGAAGGAGAGATGTCCCAGCAGAAGGGGGAGTGCGAAAATAAAAGGTACGGAAAGTGGATTCCCGAGACCAATCCGCCGCTCGGAGGATGTCTGACAGTGACGCCCCCGCTAGGAAGGCTGAGGAAGCCGCCGCCCCTCGAACGGAGTGGGCGCCGAAAGTAGGGTCTATACCGGCGAGGGAGAGGATCCATCGAATCCACCGGGCCAGTGTGGTGACCGAGACCGGCGCGTGGGGGCGGACATAGGAGACTAGGAGTTGGCCCGACACCGAGTTCCGGAGCGAGGAGGTAACCGAAACGTATCTGCGCAGGGTGGACACGACGCAGAGTTGCGGGTCGTCTGGGAAAAAGGGGTAGAATACCGAGGTCGAACCCGACTTAGTGCGACGGGAAACGTGGAAAGTGACCCCCTCCGGGGCAATCTCGAAGGCGTCAACGTCGAAGGCTCGAACGTCTGATACCCGTCGAAAGGACACGAGACAGAGCAAAAAAGCGCACTTGGCTGACAATTGGCGTAGGGAGAGGCGGTCATTAGGGAGCCAAACCCTGAAAAAACGGAGGACCAGCCCAACATCCCATAGGTGGGAGTACCTGGGAGCTGGGGGGGCGGCGGAGCCGCATACCACGGAGCAGGCGGCAGACGAGAGGGTCTTTGCCGACCGGGAGGTCCCCTACGAGGGTATGGGCTGCCGAAATCGCGGATAGAAAAACGTTAACAGACCGATAGGAGCGGCCCGACGAAAACAAGGATGAAAGGAAATTGAGAATCATGGGAATAGGTGCTGTAAATGGATCGGCGTCCCGTTCCATACACCAAGTAGACCAGGAGGTCCAAGCTGAAAGGTAGGAGCGTCTAGTTCCAGGGGCCCAGGAATCCCATAAGAGGTCCCTGGTAGCCTGCGATAGTCCGCTGACTTGCCAGGAACCCCGGAAAGAGTCCAAGCCACCAGGGGTAGTCGATCTTCCAAGAGAAGCGGGTGGAGATTCCCTTTGGGATCCGTGAGCAGCTCCGGAAAGGATGGAAGGAGGAGAGGATCCCTGCAGGAGGTGGCTAGGAGGTCCGGAAACCATGGTTGGCTCTGTCACAAGGGTGTTATGAGGACCAGAGTGACCTGTTGCGTCCGCATCTGGTGTAATGTTCTTGCGATCATGGCAAATGGGGGAAAGGCATAGGCTCCGGTCGTTGGCCATTGTTGTAGAAAAGCGTCCGTCGCCTTGCTCTCCGGGTCCGGGAGCCAGCTGAAGAACTCCGGGGTTTGGTGGTTGTTGCGGGACGCAAAAAGATCCAGGTGAAAGGGACCCCTCTGGGTCGCCAGGGCTCTGAAGATCCTCGTGTTCAGTCTCCAATCGCTGACGTCCCTCCAGTGGCGAGAGAACCAGTCGGCCGTGAGGTTGATTTCCCCGGGCAGGTATTCGGCCTGGAGAGCGATGTTGCGGGGTAGGCAATAGTTGAAAATGTCCTTTGTGATGTTTGACAGTAGACGTGAACGTGCGCCCCCCAGGCGATTGATATATCGGACTGCGGAGACATTGTCCATGCGTAGGAGGATGCAGCAGTTGGATCTGTCTCGGGCCAGGCTGCGGATCGCGAAGGATCCTGCCAGGAGTTCCAGGCAGTTTATGTGCATGGAGAGTTCCTGAGCTGTCCATGTTCCTCCTGTGGATATGGACCCGCTGGTGGCGCCCCAGCCCCACAAGCTGGCGTCTGACTCCAGTATGAAGTCTGGGGTGTCTCCGAATATGGCCCTGCCGTTCCAGGCTTGCATGCTGTCCAGCCACCATGACAGTTCCTCGCGAACTTCCGTCGTCACCGGGACGATTTGATCGTACGTGGGCCTGCGGCGTAGGTACCTCGCCTTGAGGCGTTGCATGGCTCTGTAGTGGAGGGGACCCGGGAATATGGCCTGAATGGAGGCGGAGAGGAGTCCCACGATCCTGGCCAGGTTGCGGAGAGGGATGGAGTCGCGACGGAGTGCTCTGCGAATCTCCTTGCGAATAGATGAGATCTTCGAGGCTGGAAGCTTTAGAGTGCATGTAGTCGAGTCGATCTCGAAACCCAGGAATTGTATCGTCTGGGCTGGGGTTAATTCCGATTTCTGGCGGTTCACCACAAAGCCCAGAGATTCCAGCAGTGTCACTGCGAGATGAGTGTGTTGGTGCAGTCTGTGCTCGTTGGAGCAAAAGAGAAGCAGGTCGTCCAGGTAGATGATGCATCGGACACCCCTGGATCTCAGGTGGGCCACCACCGGCTTCAGAAGTTTGGTGAAACACCAAGGGGCCGAGCTGAGCCCGAAAGGGAGGCAGGTGAATTGCCAAGGACGGCCGTGCCAGAGGAAACGTAGGAGGGTTCGGCAATCCGGATGCACTGGGACCGACAGGTATGCATCTTTTAGATCTAGTCTGGTGAACCAGTCGTTGCTTTGTAGGAGGTCCCGCAGAAGGTGGATGCCCTCCATCTTGAAGTGGCGATACGCCACATAAGCGTTGAGGCCGCGTAGGTTGATGACCGGACGGAATTCTCCCGACTTCTTCCGAACCAGAAAAATATTGCTGAAAAAACCTCCCCCGTCGTAGGTCGGCTGGATAGCCCCTTTGTCCCGAAGTTCGCGTAGTTCCGCGTTGACGAGGGATTGGTCGGAAGATGACATGTGGATAGGGTGAGGAGGTTGTGTCTGAAGGGGAGTCCCTACTAGGTCTATGACATATCCCTGTACCGTCTGTAGGATCCACTTGTCTGAGGACAGAGCGGCCCAATTCTGGAAAGAATGGGAAATACGGCCCGCGTGGCGGGTGCAAGGTAACAAAGGAGGAATACGGGTGCTTACCTGTAGCAAAGCGGGAACGTCCGCGTGGTCCCCGGCCTCTGTCCGAGCCTCGTGAGAAAGGCTGTTGCCTGTACCCTCGTGTTGGGTAGAAAGGTGTCGGTTGAGTGCGGGGGCCTGAAGGCCAGAATCGGCTGGCGGCACGGCCCCGTTGCCGGCCAGCCCTTCCAAAAACTCCTCTGGTGGTAGTGCTCCGGAAGACTCTGCGCATAGAGGACTGCGCCTTATTAAGTGAAGTGAACACGTTCACGTGTTTGTTAAGTTCCTTGAGGAACGGTTCACCGAACAATTTTCCTTGTGCCTGGGGCCCAATCTCCTTAGTGCCAAGCTCTGCCAATTTTCCGTTAATACGGAATAGCGCTGCTTTCCGTCTCTCAGAAGAGAGCGTAACATTGGTATTTCCAATGAAGCAAAAGCACCGTTGTGCCCATTCGCGCACGTCATGTGCCCATTCCTTGATGTCCTCGGCAGAGAAAGAATCGGCTCTGTTCAGGGCGTCATCTGCCAGGTACATGATACGGGCCAGAGGGCCGATGGCGCCCAGCAGGTTATCCTGTGCGCCGAATAGGCCTTTCTCTACCCCTCGTCGAGGGTCTCTCCCACTACGCATCATGAAGGTTGTCATAACCTTATCAAACTCGGGAGTGTGAGCCACTTTATCTGGCAGGGAAGGGCGTGGGCATTCTGAGCCGGTTGCGGACCTCTTTCTCCAGGGGCTTGCGAAGCCACAGGTGCATAAACCTGGAGAGGTGTTCTGGGGGTGACCAGTCTCCCGATCTGGGGTGGCGGATGTTGCGAGGGTCAAACATCGCTTGACCCGAAGGGTCTAAAATGGTGTCCGAATCAAGAGGGTGTTCTGCGTCCGCAGTGTCTTCAGTACCCTCTGTCTGGGCCGCACCCAGAAGAGTCTCCCGCATGAGGGCAGAGACAGATTTTTCGTCCGAACCCCAAGCGTCGTCTGAATCAGAGACGTCAGCCTGCCATTCGTCCAGTACTGACATGGTATGTGAAGGCCCTTGCTCTTCGTCCGAAGAGTAATCCTGACGCGGGGTCGGGGTACTAGCCTTGGCAGATTTGCGCTTGGCATGCGCCTTACCCTTAAGAGGTTTTAGTGCCTGATGTTCGCATTTCTCATGGCGTTTCCTCGGACGGGAATCCTCCCTGGTCCGGTAGTCGGACATATCCGAATCTGAGTCCTGGCGAGGTCGCCTACGTTTGGGCGCTTCTGCCGTGCGTGCCTTGGAGAGTGCCTTCTCCACTGAAGCAGCGATAGCTGCATTGATCATTGCTTGGAAGTCCACAGGGACATTCTGGGAGTCTTCCATGGTAAGGGTAGGCTTATATAAATCACGGATAGGCACAGTATAAATGGGGCACCCAGGTCTTAAATATATAGGCGTAGGGTCAGTTGACGTGGCACCAGTGGTGGGTAGCACTCCACCGAGTATAAAGACCCCGGCAGGGTATAGTTGGTGACCTTATAAAAAACTGGGGCTCACCCAGTTAGAGAGAACTGCAACAGCTAGTCTCCCAATAAGCAGCGTGGTACACAAGTACGTATAATGGGGGCTCACCCCGGTTGCACAGGGTTGGTACCCTTAAGTGCAGGTCACAATAGTAAGCAGGCAGCAGCACTGACCTGACTGACCCAGCCACAGAGTATATTATCAGTGTAGGTAATCCTGGTACTCACAGTGAAGAAATTCACAGCCACAGATTATAGGCATGCAGTGTAGGTAATCCTGTCACTTGCAGTGATAAAAATTCACATCCACAGAGTATAGGCCTGCAGTGTAAGTAATCCTGTCACTCACAGTGATGAAACTCACAGTCACAGAGTATAGGCCTGCAGTGTAAGTAATCCTGTCACTCACAGTGATGAAACTCACAGTCACAGAGTATAGGCTGCAGGAGTTCACACTAGGGCTTCAGACCAGCACAAAAGCAGGTGGAAGGGAGCTAACACAGCCAGTACTGAGTCCCCAGAGAGATCCAGGCGAAAAAACAAGATGGCCGCGTGAATCTCGCGGTATTCGCGATCCAAAATGGCGGCCGCGAGTGTAGGCCGCAAGCCGGGGACTAAATTTAGGGCCGGCCGGCGCAAAAAAGATCGCGATAAATTCCGGTCGCGAG